CACGTTCTGCATGGAGCACTGGGTGTTGTGCACGAACAGTGAATCATGGAACACTTCATCTAGAACTAATGATGTAATGTATGGGGATTAACATAAGAATAAAAAAAAAAAAATCTTCTTCCTTAGTGCCACTTGCATGCTGGAGACCAAACTCACACTGTGTGAATAGTCCAAGTCTAGCCCTGGTAGGATGCTGTGTGAGTATCTTTGTATCTTCATTGTACATCAACTTAACAAGTGCCTATGGTGTGCAAAGAACTGTAAGGCTGCCTTACGTAGTTAACAAAATGTTTTCAGTAGTTGTTTTTAACCTCTCTCTCTCACACACACACACACACACACATGCACACACAAGTAGATATTATTCTCCCATTTTAAAAGCAAATAACATGAGTTTCAGGTAGAGTAAATGACTTCTCCAGTTGACACAGATTGTATATGGCAACCACATAATTTTTCCTGACTCCTGCCTACAGAAGAATTAAAGTATGGCCCAGCCCAGTTCTAGTGTAGCCATAATCTATTTAGAGAACATAAGAGCTTCCCAAAGAGCATGGGCAAATCCCTCTAACACCACCAACATGAATCTGGAGAGCACACTGCATGTTACAGCTCCCGGTAAGCACACCCATTGTCCTGGGCAACGTGAGATACACCAAGAATTTACAATAGAATTCCTGCTTTGAGGTACTGACAGTCAACAGTGCTTGAAAGTTCACAAAGTGTTTTAAGCTTTGCAAAAGCTCTATCTGATATTATACAAAGAGTATAGAACCCAGAATCGGAAATTTGAGTTCTGATCTGGATTCAGATTGATGAGCTTTTAATAAGGCACTTGCTTTACCTCTTCAAATGGCAGTTTTCCCACCTGTGAAGTAGATCGTACACCATCAGTGCTACTTATCCCAAAGGCTTGTTAGGAGGTGAGACGAGGCAATTCTTGTGAAAAGTCCTTTATAAAATGTACATTTCTGGGACGGTTAGATCCATATAACAGAATAAGACATTCAAAACTAGAGATGCTAGAGATAGTGCTCCTCCAACTAGTAAGCAGAAGAGCCAGGACAGGAACCAATTTTTCCATCGCTCTGTCTCATGGTTTTTCACCAAATACTCTGTGTGTGTGTGTGTGTGTGTGTGTGTGTGTACATATCACTTTACTGGACTATTGTTTTCAACTTCAAAAAGTTTGTGATGTGATTAAGATTATAGATCTGTGGAAGACTCCTAAAAGAATTGTTAAGCAAAAAATCAATAAGTACAGAAAGAGTAGAAGACAGGAGTTTGGAAACCCCACAGGGGAATGATCAAGTGAGCACGAGGGTACTAAGGGACACTCTCCTGAGGATCACTTTCTAACCTGGAGCATTAGCTACAGCTAGATCTGCATTCTCTCACACCATCTGCTTGTTACCTCCTCTTATCCAACCAATCTGCCCACCATCTAACTTCACTCTTTCCACAGTGCCCTCCAGAATCTCAGTTCCTTCTACTTTACGTTTCCCCCCCCAACATACCCTTCCACCTCTGGGTCCCAGTGAAATACTGGGTTCTCCTCTGAGGACACTACTTCGTAGTAGCCTTTGGCGATGGGAGGCTGTTCATCTGCTGAGGTTCCACATACCATGGGACAGGCAAGCAGCATTTCACAATCTCCTAAGAGTCCCATGTTATTTTCAGAACAATACCAGGCATGCCCCTGACACCTCCTTTCCCTCACCTCACCCACACCAAATCTTACCAATTCTCTTCTGACACACAGTTCACACCCAACCATTTCACTCCATCTCCACTACCGCCATCAATTCAAGACACCACCATGATTAAACTAATTAAACTAAATAAATACCTCCTCACTGGTCTCCCATGTTACTTTTACATATTTATTATTCACTCTTCCTGCAGTAACCAGGATAACCTTTATAAAGGGTCATGAAATTGGGTTATGCGTTTGCCCTGCATAAAACCTTTTACTGGCTTCCAATTGAACTAAAATAGAAAGTGCTTACATGGAGGACAAGGTCCACCCTGATCTGGACCCTGGTTGCCTCTCCCAGCCCAACTCCTTTCATTTATCCACTCCCTCACTATCTTCCATGCTAATGGACTGCACTTTTTTCAAATATGCTTACCTAACAGCTTTTCAGGCATGTTATTCATACATCCTAGAAATCTGCATCAGCCTCCCCAATCTTCACCCATCCTTTATTCAATTAAAGGGATGGTCTCAGCCTCTTCCACAGAATGAACTTTCTTCTACTTGACTACATGCTCAATAAGAGCACGGACCATGTGTATTACATACACATGAAATTACATCAACCAAATCCAATTTTTTTTCTAGGATGCTGTATTACTTTCCAAGGACTGCCATAACGAAGTACTATGAACTGTGTGGCTTAAACAGCAGAAGTGTATTGTCTCACAGTTCTGGAAGCTAGATGTCTGAAATCAAGATGTGTGCAGGATTGGTTCTTTCTGAGGGCCGTGAGAGAAGGATCTGTTCCAGGCCCCTCTCCTAACTTCAGGTTGCCTCAGGCATTCCATGGCTTGTAGATGGCATTCTCCGTGTCTTCACATTGTCTTCCCATTGTATGTGTCTATGTCTGTGTCCAATTTCGCCCTTCTCATAAAGATATAGTCATATTGGATTAGGGTCCACCCGAGTGACCTCATCTTGACTTGATCATCTGCAGAGACCTTATTCCCAAATAAGGTCACATTCATAGGTACTGGAGGTTGGAATTTCAACATCTTTTGGAGGAACACAGTTCAACCCATAATAAGCCTTAACCTTCCATCTTTCTGAGTAATATCTATGACCCAAATGATATCACATCAAACAATTTTTTTGAACACAAATTTTTATTTTTTCTTCCACCTCACTACACAGAAGAAAAGTCCTCCATAAAACTGCTTCTACTCCTGGATTTCTGAAAGCCATTGGAGAACGTCACACAATCCTGCAGGCAGGTCGAGTTTAGAAATTAGGTCATTCCTTTTACATATCCTACTCAAACCTAGATGTTCTTTGATCTTACCACCCACCACAGGCCCTCCTACCCTCATCAGATGATTTTTCTTTGTATTTCAGAAAAAAATAGAGGTAAGAGGGTTTAAATCATCAAACTTTACACTGTTTTCTTACCCAACTCACCCAACAAGCAAGCATCTACCTATAAATGCATATGCACTTTTCCCCTTTTCTTTCCTCTTCCAAGGAATAAGTACCAATTCTCTTCCTCAAATCTTATCCTCCCCTCCATGCTGTTAGCACATTCTCACCCATCTCTTAAGGTACGTTGCTTTGTCATTAATTCCCTCTTTAAAAAAATAAAAATAAAAATTTTTATTGTGAAATATACAACACATTTACAAAAACCCACAAAACAATTTAGAGTTTCACAAATTATTATAAGCTTAATTCCACAGTAAACACCACCAAGACTTAAAACAGAAATTTGCAACCACCCCAGAAACCACCTCTACATTCCCATCCTAATCATAATCCCCCCAAGTTACTATTACCCTGATTTTACTAAATTTCTGTATAGTTTTTTCAGCCAATTGTGCCTCCTTACAAACTTAAGTTTCATCTTGCCCATTTTTTATTTAATTTTTTGGTATCTTTTTATCTATGTGTTCTCCCTCCTAATCTCTTGAAGTTTATCAATTGACAAGCTTTGGAATTTAATCTACAAAGTTACCCACAATCTGCATTTTGCTGCTTGCACACTCACTCATGGTGCAGTTTCACTTGTATGTTTGCCCTCATATTTTCTGAAAACTGGCAGATAGCTCCTGAGGTTTCATCAGATTCAGTTTTAATAATTTTAGCAGGACTATAGGTTTTCTTGTGTCTTTTCATAAGAAGGCTCATAATATCTTGCCTCTCTTTTTGTGCTTTCAGTAACCATCGATACTCAAAGCCTAGATCCATTCATTCATCAAGGTTTGCAAAAGGGTGATATTTTATTCCCAATGGCATTTTTACAGAAATAGGAAAAACAATCCTAAAATGTATATGAAACTGCAAAAACTTCTTTTTTTTAAGATTTTATTTATTTATTTGCCAGAGAGACAGAGAGAGAGAGAGGGACAGAGAGAGAGAGAGAGCACAAGCAAGGGGAGCAGAGGGAGAAGCAGTCTCCCCGTTGAGCAAGGAGCCCGAAGTGGGAATCGATCCCAGGACCCTGAGATCATGACCTGAGCCAAAGGCAGACGCTTAACCGACTAAGCCACCCAGGTGTCCCTGTAAAAGACTTCTGATAGCCAAAGGAATGCTGGAAAAGAACAAAACTGGAAGCATGTCACTTCCTGATTTCAAACTATTACAGAGCTATAGTAATCAAAACAACATGGTACTCATAAAAACAAACACATGGACCAGTGGAACAGGTTCAAAAGCCCAGAAATAAACCCAGGCATACATGGGCAACTAATATTTGACAAGGAAGTCAAAATACTCAATTGAGAAAAGACATTCTCTTC